TTTTTTTTTATTTATATGCCTTTATTTAATCATAGGTATGTCATGTACATAATATAAAGAATTAAACTCATTATAATGATATGAAAAAAGTGCAAATAAACCATTTTAAAAATTTTAAATTACATAAAAAGAACAGGAAAAAGTATATAAAAAACTTAAATTATGGGATTTAAAAAAACATGAAATAAAAAAAAAGAAAAAACAAACTGAAAAAATGAAAAAAACTGAAATTTTAAAAAGAAAAAAAGCTGTAATGGAAATAGAAAAACCTGGGTGATAAAGAAAAAATCCTGAAATTATATAAAAATAAATTTTATAAAATAAAACGCAATAAAATTAATAAAAAGGCAAAAATAGGAATGAAACAAGAATTACGAATAAGCCTGGCTTCCGCCTTAAGGCAAATTCTCACACGATCTAATCAATTGATATTGATGATCATTTTGGTTTTTTACAATTTTGGCGCATTTCTACTTTTAACAAATTATAGAAATAGCCAAATGACATTTTTGGCATTTTTTTATTATTTCTCCTCTTTTCTTATAAAAAAATCTAAAAATAGCCGATTCTCATTTTTAGCGTAACGGTATATCGCAAGAGCAAGGTGAAAAATTTCATCTCTTTCTGTGGTAAAAAAATTAGTTTGGTGAACTCTCGCATCAAATATTTATTTTGGTGAACTCTCGCATCTCAAACCTTTCAGAATTTAGTAGTACTAAAAAAATTTAACATTAACATTTGCTCCTTCTCATTTCATTAACATTCTCTGCTTGAACTTTTCTGACGCTGTTAATTTTTCGTCCGCGAATAGTTTCCACTTTCAGTTTGCACCTTCTCTATCTATCTAAGTTCTCTGGGGAAGCCAACTTGTGGGGAATTCCCTGAATTTCGGGAAATTCAGTTTGCGTGGGGATCGCGGAATGGACCGTTTTTTGTTGGGAATTTCAGTTTAAATGGGGATGCGGAGGTTGAACTAATTTTGTGAGGAATTAGGTGTAACAAAATTTTCTTCACTTTTATAGACTAGAATTGAGTGGGCTACAAAACTGCAAACTCGGAATTTTTCTAGAAAATTTAATTAAAAAGCTCGAAATTATTACGAAGGTTTGTTGATTTTTTTTAAAATATTGCACAAAGTTTGAAACTTGGATTGGAAACGGGTTTTGGTAAAGAATGAACTATATTTTTATAAAAATAACTCTAATAAAATAACAAAAAATAAAATAAAAATTGTGAAAACTTCTCAAAGTGTGGTGCGAATAAATTTTTTTCGACCGCTGTATGTATATTATTATATTATATTAATATTATCTGTACTTTTCATTCTTTATTTGTTAACCAATTTTAGGAAAGTTTGGTGTGGTTTATGAATACATAGATGTATTACACTTAAGAATAAAATAAACAGAAAGACCAGCAATATATCAAAATACTTTAAATTTTTCTGTTTTTTTTTTCGTTTTTTGTGCAAATAATGGGATATCTATGGATGGGAATTTTCACGAAATTCCGGGCAAATTCGGGGAGTTTCATTGTCGGGGAATTCTCAAAAATGAGTTGGCTACCCTGCTGTACATTCACAATCATTTTGATTCACAGTAATTGCAGTCCACAGCCAATTTATCGTCCACAAAATTTTGCACCCTTTGCTTTGATTGGATGCTTCATCCACTACGACGAACGGTGAAAAGTTTTTCTCTTGTGTAAATTTGCAGAATTTCTGGTAAGTTTCCCGAAAAAACGTGTTTCTTTAAAAAAAAAACACTCTTAAAGTGTTAATTTATCGTCGGTAAATGAAAAACAAATGATATATTAGAGCATGCCTTAGTTTTTTACAATTACGGATATGTGAAAATGTGCGCCGTCGTTCTATTATAGAGCGCTGCAGCAGCGTCTGCAACAGTGGTGGCGCAAGCAGCCAATTGGAATAATAAGCGCAAAAGAAATCACGTCTTTACCGCTTCAAAAAAAAGGATGTGTTTTTAAAACCCGCCTGCCGAAATAGCAATTAAAAACTACAAGCTTGTGGTTTCCTAAAACAAATTTAACTGTATTCCTAGAAAATATGCACCGTGGCATTGTGGTTACTGCGCAATCTAATTGGCGCTGCCAGTCGGCCGACACCGCTGCTTGTGTCGCTGCTTTTTCAATTGTGGCTGCTTTGTTTTTGTTTCTATTTCGCTGTTGGCGCTGACAGAGGTGCTGAGTAAATGAGTTTTGTTGCTATTCTCGACAATGATTCAATTGACTTGTATTGGATTGGGCGGACGTTGAATAAGGTGGAACTGGCGCAAGAATATGTTGCAAGTTCATGCTGGCAAAAAGGGCGAGGAGTTGGAATTAGATGCTTTTAAAATGAATCCTTTATTGCTGGCCTGAAATGTAACGACTGTGGCGATATCTAAGTAGGTACTACTTATCATGTGGGTGTGTGGGCGCGAGTCTTGTGTGAAACGCCGCGGCCAACTTCATGGACATGCGACGGCAACACGCAATTATAAGCGTGCTGTTTGCTGTTGAGACCTTCAGATGATTCATGTGTGAGCAATTTTGTATGTTTATAACTGCACGGCGAGTATTAACTTAATACTCTTTGAAGAAATTTATATACGTGGCTAATAACTACTCTATCAGATGGGTTTAGATCTAAAAGCAATTGAAAATAAAACCGACTTTACTACAATTTAAATAAATCCTTAAGCACCTATACATTTATATGTATTTATAAACTTAAGTAGGTAATTGCACTTCGTATATGTCAGCCCGTGCCGCGATAGTGCTGGGTACTTAATTGAAATGCAACGCATGTCATCACATTGTTGAAATTATACTTCCAATTGTCATATTCCTACAACTAAATGTGATTTTTGTACTCCTTCCGCAAGCCCCGTGCGGATTTGTGGTTTTATTAGAAGAGAATATGTATGTACATATGTACATACATACATACATAGGTATGCTATTCATACGGCGGCAATTTATTTGACCAATCATTAGATTATAAGCGACTATTTTAACTATACGAAGGCACATCAAAGCCATAAAAGGAGCTACATAACTACTGGATACCTACTCATACAAATAAATAATTTCGCATATAATACGATTAATTTCTAAAACGTTTCGGATTTTATTCACACCAGATTGATAAACAACGCTAAGTATCAGGATTAGGCAAACGATTCTTCAACTTTACCGTGATTTTTTTTTATCAATCATCGCAAAGGTTTTGACGCATAAAAGCCATTTAGAGCACAAAAAACTATACAACCAGCCATTTACCTGCTTTAGTTTTACTCTATATCAATTTACATAGCTCGCTTGGCTTTGTAGTAAGCAAATAAAGATAAATTTCCATTAGCTTCCAAAGCTTTGTTTTGTAAGAAGATAAAGTGGAAAAGCAGTAAATCTCAAAGAATAGACGTAATATACCCATAGCCTACATGCACATACAAACCTCGGCATTAGGCATGCGGAAATGAGTTATCAGTCTAATTGAGATAGACAACGCAAGTGGCAACGAACAAAATAGCTACAAAGAATTTGCGTTATTACCAAGATATTTAGCATGTATCTCTAATAAATACAGGGGAATACAAAAAATAAGTGGGACACTAATAGAGTGGCAGTAGCAGACGAGCGGAAATATCCAAGCAACGCGACTAAAGCGACTCAACAGTCAAACGCCATCGCCGCCAGTCAACTTGCGGATGTCTGCTGGAGTATAGATAGAAAAAAA